CCTCGCCCCTGCTGCCGTGCTGCGAGGCGCTTATTTACTGCCAGCCTCGCCTACAGGTATGTGTGAGCGTCGAGAGGCGACAGCTGTTGGACGGACGTACGACGGCGTCATGGCGATGGCGCAGAAGCGAATGCCTCGCGCCAGCAACGGCCAAAGGTAGGAGACAGAGCGGTTGTGGAGAGCACCTCGATCGGTCTTCGTTGAGGGACGATGTCAAAGGAGAATCTTGTGGTGTTTGACGACCGCGAACAGCAGCGCTGTTTGCCGAGGAGTCACGACAGAACGAAGAGACGTGAAAGATTTATGAAATTTCCCTGCTACCCTTAATAATGCCGTAATTGCGTAGGGTAAACGTCATAGAGACCGTCGTTCGAGACATAAGCCAATCTAGCCGCGTCGCTGTTTCGAAAAAATGCCACAGTAAGACGATGTGCGGTCGTTCAGCGAGTCAAGCAAAACTATCGATACATGGCTTCCGACTATCGGCAGCAAATCGAGTGTTCACTAACAAAACAGAACCGATGAACGAAATTTGTCAAAGAAATTTATATAAAATATAATCTCGATATTCTGGGGTAGCTTTCACGAATGGTGGCTTTCGTATCGCCTGTATCGGCAAATAATATCATATTTGTAATGACATTACAAATAACGATTGCGGATTTAGACGGCAGAAATGTACCCTGTAAAGACAGAAAATTTTATTTCTTACTTTACACCATATTCACCTTATTTTATTACAGAGAGGGGCGGTAGTGAGAGACAGATTGAAGTCTTACACCAACTGCACTGCCCCCCCCCATGATTCTAGTCGCAGAGAAAACAATTTAGACAGGCCGTAGCTCCATGGTATTTAAGCGCCTGCAGTGTATAGGACGCCAGATCTCGCCTCTTTATGAAAAGTTGTAAAACACCTTTTCGTCCAGACGCTGGTCACTGATCTTTCGCCATTCAGCAGCTGACGAGTCGGGTTGATATCCCAACCGTGCTAAATTCTATCTTTGAGCAATTTTAATATTTCTTTAAGGTTGGCAAAGCAATA